CCGCTCCTCCTTCGCGTCGAAAGGAGCCAGTTGAGGTGGTTCGGGCACCTAGTTAGGATGCCACCTGGGCGCCTCCCTAGGGAGGTGTTCCAGGCACGTCCAGCTGGGAAGAGACCAAGGGGTAGACCTAGAACCAGATGGAGGGATTATATCTCTTCGCTGGCCTGGGAGCGCCTTGGGATCCCCCAGTCAGAGCTGGTTGATGTGGCCAGGGAAAAGAAAGTTTGGGGCTCTCTGCTGGAACTGCTACCTCCGCGACCCGACCACGGATAAGCGGGAGAAGATGGATGGATGGATGGATGTAGCTAATGTTCAATCTGAATACACTTTTTCCTTTGAAATAGCAAAAAAGCTCCGTGTAAGTCATAAACTCATGTCCACAGCTGTAAGCAATCAAGTAACCAACATACATGCATCTGTGATTAGGCAACACTACGCAGTTAGGAAACAGACAGCAGCCAGCAGTATTTCTTAAAGACAGTGTTTTTATTTGCTTGGTTTAGCAACTGTACATGTGACTCCTTCCTGAGAATGCTGCTCACCTCAGTAGAAAGGGAACAGTGGGATGGAGAGAGAATCAGAGAGGCCGGGTGGGATAGAAATGTGTGGGTGACAGAGCAGAAGAAGAAAGGGGATAAAAGGTATAAATAACTCCAGTGGATGGAGGTAGAAAGACAGGGAGGGATATAAGGACTGATTGAGAGGAGATGAAGAGCAAATGATTGTGGACATGAACCATTTCAAAGAGGAACCTCTATGAACCTGACCACCAACCCATGCTGTAGTTTAAAGGTGTGTATCTGTCCGAGTATGATGAAGGGACCCGCAACAAACCAATTTGGTTTCAATATACCAAAACATCAATAGAGAAATCATTAATTTACATTTTTGTAGAAACTTCTGTAAAAATAGGCGAGTTGCTCCAGAAAACATTGAATTGTTGAGGAAACCAATATAGTTTGAGTGAAACGTTCCTTTTAAGTGCATTTGACACAGGGTGACCTACTGTACAGTATAATTAGAAACTCCAATGTAACTCAAAATCCTTCTCAGCCCTCTGCCCCCCTTCCCCCTTATTCACCAACAATTCATGCCTCAGAAGTGTTAAAAATATAGCTTTTTGTATATGTACTTAAAAAGTGGTCTGTGACATTTAGATTGTTCTTCTTTCATATTTCTGTGTTATGCCAACTCTTAATGCCTGAGATAAAGAGATCTAGATAAAAGAACATCGAAGAAAAATATGAAATTATGATGTTTATGAGCAGCTGTAAATCAATTATCTTTGCCTATTGAACATTCAAGAAGAGGACTGAACATGGAGACATGCTGTAAAAGTCAAGGCTGAACATAGTAATAATTATAATGAATAATGATATAAAAGCATGTTTAAACAACATCATCTTCATGATCCTCCTCATTCTGGTTCTTCAGTTCCAGTTGTTACATCCTGCACATGTGGAGAGTGTTAGTCGTGTCCTTCAAGCGAGCCTCGGAAATCTTCGTTTGATCGACTTTCTTCAAAGATTAAAAAGAAGTAATGGATGATTTGAAAAACAAAAAACGTATCTCTGGCGACACGTGATGGGGAGAGGAGCGTTTAGCTGAATACAAAAGCAAATAATGCAACAAAAAAGTACAAAAAAACAGAATATTGACCAAAACATGACCGTGGCCAGAGAGAAGAAAAGGTTATGAATGTTTGGAGGAAGAGGAGAGCGAGCGGATTGTTTTAGTCATGTCTGCTTTCAGTTCATTTTTTCATCCGTCCATCAGTGATATCCATCTAGAAATGTCCTCTCCTCTTTGTGATTGGCTGAGAGCTACTACACTCTCCCTCTCCAACAGGAGCTAGTGTGGGCGGATCATCTTGAGTCGTGATTGGTCGATGACGTCCAGCAGGTTCTTGGCGTCCACTGCGAGGGCGTGAGCTGCCATTAGCATCTGTTTCTTGTAGTCCTTTTGTAAACTGTAAAGGAAACAGAAAACAATCACTGTGTCACTATAGCTGTGAAAGTATTAGTAAATCATTATCAGTAAAACATTTGATATCTGCACCCACCTTGTCATGACATACTGTTGGGCCAGTTTCATCTTCGCTATTAACTCGGCCAGATCTGAATTCAACAACTTCTGAGCCATCTCAATCTGTGATAACACAAACAAATGTTAATTTAAAATATACCTATGATCCTCAATAGTGTAATGCTCCCAATGACACTTAACCTGAGCAGAGGACTAATTAGCTACAAGCAGAAACACCTGTGTGGGCGTTTAGAGCCGTCAATATTACACATTCTTAAGTGAGGAGATTCACAGCAGACACATTTATAAAAACCGTAAAACATTTCCTGATGTAGAGGATTTGATAAAGGTTATACAGAGTAGTTGTTTCAAATGTAATTCAAACTAATTATATAAATACTGAGCATACAAAAAAGATGGAGAGAAACTTATTAATCACTTCTGGTATTTAGTACAAGTATAAGGACAGAGAAATAACACTATCCTATATAATAATAATAATAATAATAATAATAATAATAATAATAATACATGTTATTTATATAGTGCTTTTCCAGGTGCTCAAAGCGCTTACAGTATATGTTTGCAATATACAGATATTAACTGTGTGTGTGTGTGTGTGTGTGTGTGTGTGTGTGTGTGTGTGTGTGTGTGTGTGTGTGTGTGTGTGTGTGTGTGTGTGTGTGTGTGTGTGTGTGTGTGTACAGCGTTTGACTGTTCGTCAGTGGTGAATGAATTGTGGACCCTACATACCATTTCCTCTGTTTGCTGAGCACAGCTTTCTTTGTCTAGATTTGAGTTATTTACTCTGCAATACGGCTCTCTATTAAATTGATGTGGGCTGAAAATGAAAGCACAGTAGCTCCACATTTGCAGACATGATAAACGAATAAACAAAACCATTTGTTATAGGCTGTAGTTTAAGATTGCTACTATCACCAAAGCAAAGCAATGGGGTTCCTTGTTTTGAAGTTTAATCTCAGAGTTCAGAAATCACAGCATTTTCCCATGTTTCCGATCCATTCACCTCCCAGCTGTGCAATTAGATCAAATGTGTGTGATTTTGAGTGCTAACCCTAAATCTCTGTGTTTTTCTTTTCTGTGGAATAGTTTGGGAAAATGGATGAATCGGAGAGGAGAACAGAACATTACGATACTCTGGTAAGACCATACAGGCTCACACTCAATATATAACAATATACCTTACCACACACTGCACGTTGTTACTGGGCAGTATGAGTGGTGCTGTAACTGGATGTATGCTACCTTGTCTTTCTCTGTAGGCCATGAAGTATCTCTCTTACCTCCTTTACCCGTTGTGCATTGGAGGGGCTGTGTATGCTCTAGTATTCCAGCGATATAAGAGGTAGATTTGTGTTTGTGAACATAGCATGCACAGTTTTGTTATTTAATGTAATTCCAGTTGTTATTACCTCACCAGTCTTGACATGATTATCTCATATTTTTTTCTCTGTTCTAGTTGGTACTCATGGTTGATCAACAGTTTAGTTAATGGTAAGCGTTAATCTCTCAACGCTATGTATGTTAACAGTATTATAATTTGAAAAGTTGATAACCTTGATTGAAAAGAAAAGGCTTTTCAAATTGTTGTTGATGATTGCAGGTGTATACGCCTTTGGTTTCCTCTTCATGCTTCCTCAACTATTTGTCAACTATAAGGTCAGTACTTTTAACAGTATTTTAAAATGTGGTTATTAACTAAATGTATTACAAAGGCTCAAACTATATGTGACATCTTGCCCCTAAGGGAAGAAAATAACTGCTACAATTTAAATTGGTTTCTAGAGGTCAAAACAGCTTAACATCTCAAAGAAAGGTGTAAATTGTTTAGATATTGCTTCAAAGTTTACACCATAGAATTGCATTTAATTTGAATGACTATTTTTGTCTTTCAAACATCCCACCGCTGATGTATTGTGCTCTTATCTTTTCCTGCTCTTATCTTTTACTGTTTTTAAATGCCTTTGTCTGAATGTCTTTCATTTTTGTAAAGCACCTTGAATTGCCTTGTGTTGAAAGGTGCTATATAAATAAACTTGCCTTGCCTTGCCTCTATTTAACAGCTGAAATCTGTGGCCCACCTGCCCTGGAAAGCCTTCATGTACAAGGTG